ATATGCAAACTGGAAATAATGTAAATGTTCAAGGACAGGCAAATGAATAACAAATTATGGCCTATCCATACAATGGATATTAGTCAGCAATAAAAGTAAGGAAGGACTGATACACACAACATGGATGTTTCTCAAAATAATTTTGCTGAATTACAGAGAAGCCAGGGTACACATGACACAGTCCATCTATGAAAAATTCTAGAAAAAGCAAACTAATCTAAAGTGATAACAGATCATCAGATGCCTGGGGAGAGGGGAAGGGAGGAACAGGTGGAAACTTTGAGGGGTGATGGATGTTCACTATTTTGATTGTGAAGATCATTTCAGGGGTGACAAGGTTTGGAGGAGCAGAGAGGAAACATGAGAAACCATGAGGGCACCCCCCTTTGTCCCCTGTGGTAGACACTGTGCAGGGCCAGGTCCTGGGGGAGTATGTCAGCCTAGAAGGCTTTGCACAGCCTGTGGCCGTTTTCCTGGAAATCCCGTTGGCCAAACCTCCGCTAGTACCCCTGAGGTTTGCTTGTCTGCAGCCTGCCGAGCCATGGATCTTCCTGAAGAACGCCACCTCCTACCCTCCTATGTGCTCCCAAGATGCCCTGTCAGCCCCTGTGCTCTGGGAGCTCTTTCCCTTCAGAGAGGAGAACATTCCTCTCAAGTTCTCCGAAGACTGCCTTTACCTAAACATCTACACTCCTGCCCACTTGAGGAAGAAGAGCAGGCTGCTGGTGATGGTGTGGATCCACGGGGGTGCTCTGGTGGTAGGCGGGGCATTAACCTATGATGGGCTTTCCCTCTCTGCCCATGAAAACCTGGTGGTGGTGATCATTCGGTACTCCCTGGGCGCCTGGGGATCCTTCAGCATAGGGGATGAACACAGCCAGGGCAACTGGGGTCACTTAGACCCGCTGGCTGCGCTGTTGCTGGGTCCAGGTCAGGAATACATTGCCAATTTTGGAGGGGACCCAGGTTCCGTGACCATCTTCGGAGAGTCTGCGGGAGGTGAAAGTGTCTCTGTTCTTGTGTTATCTCCCCTGGCCAAGAATCTCTTCCATCCGGCCATCTCCCAGAGTGGTGTGTCCCTCACCTCTGGCCTGGTCAAGAAAGACATCAAGGCCACAGCTCAGCAAATCGCTACCTTTGCCGGCTGTCAAACCACCACCTCAGCGGTCATGGTGCACTGCCTGTGCCAGAAGTGGGAGGACGAGCTCCTGGAGACATCGCTGAAGATGAATTTTTTCCATCTTGATTTACTTGGGGACCCCCGAGAGAGCCAGCCCTTCCTGTCCTCTGTGGTTGATGGAGTGCTGCTGCCAAAGTTGCCGGAGGAGCTTCTAGCTGAAAAGCAGCTCAACTCCGTTCTGTACATCGTTGGAATCAACCAGCAAGAGTTTGGCTGGATTCTTCTAATGACGATGGGTTACCCGATCTCTGAAGGCAAACTGGACCAGAAGACGGCCTCATCACTCAATGGCAGTCCTACTCCTTCACTGACATCCCTGAGGCACTGGTCCCAGTGGTCACTGAGAAGTATTTAGGAGGGACAGAGGACCCTGTCACAAAGAAAGACCGGTTCTTGGATTTGCTGGGAGACGTGGCATTTGGTGTCCCAGCTGTGACTGTGGTGCGTGGCCACAGAGATGCCGGAGCCCCCACCTACATGTATGAGTTTCGGTAGCGCCCAAGCTTCTCGGCAGTCACGAGGCCCAAGACGGTGATAGGGGACCATGGGGATGAAATCTCAGTCTTCGGGGCTCCATTTTTAAAAGACGGTGCCTCCGAAGAGGAGATCAAACTCAGCAAGATGATGATGAAATTCTGGGCCAACTTCGCACGGAATGGGAACCCCAACGGGGACGGGCTGCCCCATTGGCCCGTGTATGACCAGGAGGAAGGGTACCTGCAGATGGGCGTACCCACCCAGGCAGCCCAGAAGCTGAAAGATGAGGAAGTGGTGTTTTTCACCGAGCTCCTTGCCAAGGACACAGCCAGGACGTCACCCCAAACAGAGCATATTGAGCTGTTAAGGAGAGGCCCATCCAGCCTCTAGGATCTAGGGGAGCTTAGGGGTAATTCTACAGAAGGTGTTTATGGCCAAAAAGGTTCCTTAGTGTCTGGTCGGAGTGGATATTATAGGTTAATTATACCTCAGCAAAGCTGTTGGGAAAAAATTGTAAATTTTAGTTGCTATTTTTGCTAGTATATATTGACCTTATATTCTGTGATTGTGATGCATTCCTTATTCATTTTAATAACTGTCTTTTAAAATATATACTTCTTAGGCTATTCTGCAGAAAACATTTCATAATAGAAACAATGTTATTTCTCTTTTACTTCTCTTTTTACATCTTACACTCCCCTGCCCTTCTGCTTTTTCTTGTTCTGTTCTTTACTGCACCGTCTCAGACCTCCTCCTATTATGGGAAAGCAATAAAACCACAGCATAAATTATGCAGTCTGCTGTGATGCCCTTCATCACACTACTTACATTTTAGTCATCAAAGAATTTTTTTTTATCACGAATACCTGTCTATTGAGCTGGTCATTTCATTTTTTTCTTTTAATCTGTTAATGTAGTGAATTACATTTCTTAGTTTTCAAATGCTGAATCAGCCTTGAGTTCTGGAAAATCCTACTTCATACAAATCTTTAAAAAATACTGCTGTATTCAAATCTCTGATGTTTGATCGATGAATGATACAGCCCTTTTATGTAACAGATTTTCATTAACTATTTGAAAACGCTTCTGTCTTTATTCTATGCTTATCTAGTAGAGGCACTTGTAAGCATTTGTATGTAACAAATTATAATGGGGTCTTGACTTACGAGTTTAATTCGTTCCAAGATGGAGCTCCTTAAGGAGCTCATTAACTCAAATTACTCTGTCAACTCAAAGCAAAAAATCAGCGGAGAGACCGCTCATATCTTGGAAAAACTCGTTAGTCAGGACACTCATAAGTCAAGGCACCACTGTATTTAACAACTGTAAGCAGCAATTTTATTTTAATTCACTTTTTTGTCTTTTTTGTCTTTTTTTTTACAAATTAGCTAACTTATAATCAGATAATATATGCAATTTTTTAAGGTCCCTCACATACCAAGCCACAGAGCTAAGACCTGAAGCACAGTTGTCTGGCTCTATTAGTAGATGCTTTTGTTATTATTATTAATTTGAACTGGATAATATTTCTTCCATAGATTTTTTGAGAGAGTAAGAGGAGTTTGGAGATAAAGAGAGAAACATAGATGTGAGAGAGACACATGGATTGGTTGCCTTCCCCAGATGACCTGCTAGGGGCTGAAGATCAAATCTGCAACCCAGGTGTGTGAGCTGGATGCAGGATCAAACCTAAACACTTGAGTGCATGGGCTGATGCATTAACCACTGAGAAAAACCGGACAAGCTTGGCTCTGGAATCTTACTAGTAAGACTAAGCTGTCATTATCATTTTAGAGTTTACTTTCCTTCTTTTGAGACTGGATCACAGAAATCTGAAACAATCTGAATTTCCAAAATAAGTGCAATTTAAGTGTGTGAATAAAACTAGCCACAGACTGGTTTGTATATACTTCAACTAACTATGAAAGCTCTGGGGGAGGGAAATAGG